ATGCTACTTGGCTCCCATTATTCATCCAGTAAATTAACAAAACTGAATGTGATCAGCACAATTGTTGAAGGCCTAGTTACATGTCTATAAGATGTTGAAAGGATTGGGGACTGGTGGAACGACAGTTAACTAGTGCTCCTTGTATTTCAAGGGTCCTCCAGATCATATCCATCAGTGCATTATTAAAAAATGGAAAATTTCACTGTTGATGAAGTGTAAAAAACATTTGTACAGTGGTCTAATTCTGATAAAATAAGTTAAACTATTGAGGCGATAATCTGTAGATACGAGCTTCTAGGTGAAGAGGTAATTAGAAAAAGGCGTTGGAGTTAGTTAGGACACACATTGCGGAAGTCGAATTGCATCACGAGGCGACCCCGAACTTGGGATCCTCAAGGTGGAAGGAAGAGGGTAGACCAAAAAACGAACGGAGGCGGTAATTGAAAGAAGACGTCGAAAGGATGAGCAGCACTTGGAAGTAACTAGAGAGGACTACCCTCATTTAGTCCTAGTTAGTGAGTGAACATTATCGAGGTCGCTTTGATGTCGTTTAAAGGTCGTCCATAAATTATAGTCTCACAATAAATGACATTGATTCCAGAAAGAATAAAAGAAAGTTTGCAGTTTGGGGTTGTGTAGATTGTTGAATTTCATCGAAATCATGAACCACTCAATGTTAGACCAACATCCAAAGTCTAGAAGCACTGGACAGCCATTTCGTCCTAGTACAGGAATCCTCAGAAGTAGGCATCCATGCATCACTATTGACTAGCCTCGAGTGTGAATTCTCGGAGTTTTATTCAGAAGTTGTGACCAGTGGGGTCCAACTGTGTTGGATGTGAGGCAGGTACTCTCCGAAGACAATGGAAGACGGTCGCACAACACCATGGATCAGTTGAAGTTGGACATTAACACCACTGGATGCCGCCTCAGTGGTCGAGAGGCTAGACATCCACACGGGACCGAATGTCCTAGATTAGAGTCCTATACGCGGGATCGTGGATGTATACTATTGAGGAGTTTCATAATAGGACGGAATGGCAATCCATTGTGTCCAGGTTTTCAATAGTGGTCTAACATTGACAGGTTCATTATTTAAGTAAAAAGTTCATCAGTAATGACCTTATATATATATATATATATATATATATATATATATATATATATATATATATATATATATATATATATATATATATATATATATATATATATGAGTGAAAAGGTATGAGGTCATTTAAAGATGGAATTTAATAAACACGGAGGCCGGTGAGGCAATAATTAAATGAAGTCCGGGAAGTCCGAGATTATGTGATAACTATAGAAGTTGTAAAGAATTTACATAAAATGCACATCACTTAAAAAATAGAGGTGATAATTGTCTAGATCTCGGAAGTGAAAGTTTGCTTAGTAATTAGACCAGACAGAGTAGCTATTGGGGGTCTGTTAGATCTTGTCCTAACAGATGTCATTGGTTCTTTGTCTATTTTGTGACGTTTCCCAAGGATATTTTTGTGCTGTATATATACGCATGAGTTGTGTGCATACTCGTTCGTACTTCTGACTGCTTGTGGAATATACATTTCCCTCGGTTGAATCTGGTCTTCTCCATCTACTCAGCAGGGCTGGGGCGCAGTGGAATAGTTTACCTTGTCTTGTTGCTGATATCGTAATCCCCCGAACATAGCAATAGGTAATAACAAAGTTTGACAATCTGTGCCTAGGTATCATGGAGATAATGATCTAATGAAAGTTTTTATCTTAAAATATCGACTACGCTATTTTGGTCATGTTTAGACATCCAGCTGTCCACTTCTCATAAAATGGTATGACAACGTCAGAAATGAATGAAAACAGAGACATGGTTAATTTGTGGTATGGTACCGTGGAATAAAATTTAAATTTATTGGGCTGACATCAGCTGACCTACCATGAGCCTTAGAAATTGGGTAGTTCAACTATTATGTCTTTAACTATATGATTATCGCTAAATAATGACGCATACACCAGTACGAGCGACCTAGATTCACGATTAGTCGTTTTTCCGCCTAGTCCTACCTGTTAAGTCCAGAACACCAATATCAGCCTCTGCGATACAAATCATATATTTCAAACATACTGGGTTCCTATACAAACAAATCGGACCACATCATGCCATAAAATAGAAAATAAGATTTGTAGAAGATCTAGCCAAAAGTGGTTGTGATTAGGAGGAACTGTGACTAATAGATTGAGAGTAACTTGAGAATAGTAAGTTATAAAACAGTAACCCACAGGTCAGTCAAAAGTTTATAATAAGAGGAATATAAATAGATGTAGTTTAGTTATTTAACAATTATACATTAAGAATATATGTATATTATTAGTCCATAAATAGATCCCAACAGTTACCTTTCATTCTTCTCGTCGGGTTGTAACATCAATCGTTCCAGGCATTATCAAATAATACACGCTATAGTGACCAGTGACGAATTCATTTTAGTTTTAGAACACTTTTCATAAAATGTAAAACACCTTTGAGACGAGACAAAATCTATGTTGACAATGCTACTGATCTTCTATTTATTTGCTTGGTTCCTTATTTCACCGAAATCTAATCCATAAGGCAGTGGAGCAACGTTTGGAGATGCAGTCTCATGGTAGCCGGTGACCAATAATTGGTTTATACGCCATTTGTTTCCTTAGGATCCTAGAGCCCATGTACACCATTGGTTTGGAATCAAGGTTTTTCAACCCTGTTAAAGCGCCGGACATTCGCTTTTCATCCTCTCAATTTTGTCAACAACACCCCCGCCACGAGAACAAATGGATAAATTTAGCTAATCTATTTCTTCAAATCCTCAGTTAGTGGGAATGTATACGTAGATAATAAAGCATATTTCGACCCTTCCAATTTCATATAATCCCGCTTAACTGGACAGTGTACAAACACATTTTCTACTTCCTAACTAAATATGAAGAATATATATGTGACAAACCATACCAGTCTGCTCTAGAATAGCTTGATGTTCGAAGGATAAACAATGACAGTTTACCGAATTGTTTATTTTCATAAACACATCTGGATCATACAACTGGATTTTAGAAACATAATAAATATTTACGGTAAAGAATTATGAAGCCTTTACTAGTAAACCCTTCTGTTGACTTGTTTCTAAATGGTTCCCTGAAGTTATTGGTGTTCCCGTTAGGATTGAATCCCTAAATGAGGGAAGTCGAATCTATTACAGGTCAAGTGGGAATTGAAACGAAAACATGGTTAGTGACGAAAAGAATAACTTGGGGTATAGTTCTGTGCAATTAAATACCGATACTTTCTATACTTTGGTTTGTCTTTTGTAGTAAATCTAACAAGAAAATCGAATGATCTTTTTCACCCAAGAGTGTGGCTACACTATCCAAGGAACATCTGCTCGAGTTCGGTAATAAATGTCATTCTCAAGAATACTTTTTAATTTCCTGTACTGTCTACAGCGTAACTTAGAAATTTTCATAATATGCATTAGAAATATACTCAGCAAGAGTAGTGAACTAATTACAGACACAAGTCTTTCTTCGTAAACATGTAAGAAAGTAAGGTACTTAGGGATGTTGATTTTATATGGTAAACGCCTTACAACTAGATTTTGGTTCAATCACCAATACGACTTTGTTAATAAATCTGAAAATTCTACTTTTGATCTTACTACATTCCAAACGACATGACTGGGTATAGTTAAACAAAAACATTGAAGTCAATATTCGTCTATCAGGTCATTACAGTTGTTAGCCATAACTTAACAACAAGATGTCCAACTTTCAGTCACTAATTTACAGATTTGAATATCACTCTCCTTTAGTTTCAACAACTAGATAACATTACTGACCCTCACACCTAGATTATAGTTATAGCCTAAATATATAAATCTACACCTGGTAAATTTATTTATTTTAACACATAGATATTGGTACAAGAAGGCACCAAATACATACGCGCCACATAAATCATTCGATTTGTATGAGGGCTGTGATACTACCCGGATGCCCAAAACGAACCAGGTGGTTTTCTTAAGGGGGCACACCCGGAGCCTTCGACCTGAAGGTCTGATCTACAAGGCAGTGGAGCATCGTAAGGAGTTACAGTCACATAGTAGCCAGTGACCAACGATTGGTTCACACGCCATTTGTTCCTTCAGGATACTGGAGCCCATGTGCAGTATTGGTTTGGAATGAGGATTTTCCAACTCCCCTAGGTGGACTCTCCATATCCACCAACCCGGTTAAAGCGCTGGACATTCGCTTTTCGTTCTCTCAATTTCGTAAACAACAATAATGCCACGAGAAGTCAGTGAGTAGGACTTTCCTGGCAGAGGCTATATACGCGTGGCCATGTGAGAGCATTTCGAGAAGGAGAGCGGACTCTCTCCAGGGCATTTGGGGGCACCTGGTAAATAAATATTAAACTTATTTACCTGGTAAATAAGTTTAATAAACAATCATTACTTTAGGGATTTTTTAAAACCTTAGTTCATTACAGACTTCTATTGGCAATTCTTTTCGAATAAACAATTTTAAAACATTAGTAAGTCTATACTTTTATAATCGCCCCCAAATGCCCTGGTATGGACGAGAGTGGGTAGACCCGCCCTCCGTCTTGAAATGCTCTCACACGGCCACGCGTATACAGCCTCTGCCAGGGAAGTTCTACTTACTGCCTTCTCGTGGAGGGGGTGTTGTTCACGAAAATGAGAGGAAGAAAAGCGAATATCCGGCGCTTTAACTGAATTCCAAACCAATGGTGTACATGGGCTCCAGTATCCTGAAGGAATTAATGTCGTAAGAACCAATCGTTGGTCACCGGCTACCATGGAACTGTAACTCCTTACGATGTTCCACTGCCTTGTGGATTAAACCTTTAGGTCAAAGGCTCGGGGTGTGGCCCCCTAAGGAAACCACCTGCTTATGTCTGAGCACCCGGACAGTATCACAGTCCATACACAAATATAATGAAAATAATGAAGAAAAAACAAATGAAATAGTTTTATAATCAAATGCATATGGTAGTTTTTTACAAACAGAAAAATCAAATTGAACACACAAAAAAGAATACTATACAAAAGACATTAGATAAACATAAAGACATATGGAAACAAAAAAAAAACAATCATTTAAATTTTACACTATCTGATGTTGGAAAACTTAATCCATCTGTTGTTAATGGAGAATGAACAAATGGACATAGAATAGCAAGAATCCAACGTTCACCTAAATATTGTTTAATATTATTTTTATAACCGATATTATATAAAGATGGATAGTGATTGGATAATGATTCTTGTCGTCGATGATGTAGTACAGATGTACTTGTCATTGTAGTACTACTACTACCACCACTACTATTCATCTCTTCTCCAAATTTTTTAATACCTTTCATATGATTATCATCATTATTACTCCAATAGAATTGATCGAATGATTTGAATGTACGTTCAAACATTGTTTGATTTGTGAACATTAAATTGAATTCATAAATCATAAATATAAATAATAAACATGTAATGATAGTTGATAAACTTGTTGTCAAGAAGATGATACTTTGTAAAAATGTTAAATAACCAGTTAACCACATAAAACCCGGTGGTGCAATCATACATAACAGTCGATAATAAATAGACCATGTTATAGGAAAATAATCTGATTGAAATATTAATATTAAATTATAATAACTCATAAATGCACAACCTAATAACCCATATAATAAAGTATTACAAAAATATCGCCAATTTGCATGACCAATACATTGACCTTAGAAAAGATGAAAAGAAAACAAAATACAAATGTAGATACATAAACAAGTATTGAATAAGATAAAAGACAAAATCTAGTTAGATTGTAAGTTCAAACTCATATTGAAGTAGTCTAATTTGAAAAAAAGCTGCAAAGGGCTGACTTGTGTTGGTCCTTCACGACTCCCTGGTTGGGGTCCGAGAGATGGTGCTACACAGTGGCTAGAGACGTTATCAGATATGGCTCAGAATAGAAGCCAGTGGTGATCCTACTGTAACCTTCTTTTACTTTCTTCATAAAAAGTGATTGCTTCTTCCTTAACTGAAAGATTTCTTCTGATTGTACATTTTCGTTCCCTCCCCCATTATTATTATTACACTACCTTACACTAATCTGTACGTTGTTTTTTTACGCTCCTCACTTTTTTTCCCTCTTTTCCCCAAATTCTCATTGTTTTGTGTGGAGCATATGGATTTGGTGCCCTCTTGTACCAATATTTATGCGTTCAAATAAATAACTAAATAAATAATCTGAACAGCTAGGGTGCATAACTATCCTATACTCCCTTACGCAAGCAATGTGGCTCAAAGCTGAGTACACAAACCTACATTCAGTGAATAAGCATCATAGCCAAAAAAATTTGGTATAGAGTCAGATTTATATTAGAGGTTTTGAGTAGATTACCGACTTTAAATCAATATTTAACTGCTAATTATCGAAGTGTGGTAACCAGCCAACAAAAATTGGTCACAAATTGTTTAATTACGAACTAATATGAGAATAGTCGTTTATGTATTTAGTACGAAGTGTTTTTTTCTGATTAAAAAAATGACAAAACCTGTCAAATTCTAAAATAACAATGTATCAATCAGTAATAGTAACTAATAATATGAGTCGGAAAACTGTGTTAAGTTAAAGAACTGTGTGTACAGTCATAACATTATTACTAAGGTAAACAATGAATTTATCTACAACAAACCTAAATATCACTAATCCAATAACAACTGTCTTAATCAACAAGCGGCCTAGCACAAATGTTTGTTAGCCCAAGTTGACACAGTGCATTAGTATGGTGAAATGAATCTGAATGCAAAAGGACTATCAAAAAGTTCGAATAACAGTATTAATCACCATAAGGTCAAACACTAAAGAATGTAGTTCGAAAAAGGTGGATGGGTTTGAGGGAAATGTATGAAATGATATTGAAGTTTAATACTTGGGGAAATATATGGTTATATAACATAGTTTCCAGTCAGTTATTTAAGATTCTTCTATGAAGTTCACATATAAAAATTAGTAGATTTCCGAGTTTGTATTATATTGTCATAGTTAGCCTTAAATCCAATTGATTGCATTTCGACTAAGTTTATGAAGACAGTCCGTGAACAAGTGTAAGCTAGTAGTCTTAAGAATTTGGATAATGCGATGAGAAGGCAAAGGTTATCATCACATTATGCAAATTTATCAAAGAGACTAACTATATGAAATTTTTAAGAACTGATAACTCTAACAAGTAAGCTAAATGGCCGTAACTTTTAGAATTTCGATATAGAAATTGTTTACTATAAATTAACACTGATAACGAAATCATAGGTTAATTACCTAGGAACATGATCTTCAACCAATAGTTCACTAATACAAAACTTCTTCAACTACCTTTTACGATAAGTGTAGTTAAGAGCTTACTAAATAAACCTGTACTTAGTAACTGAAACGTACTTTGTTTTTAGTTGTTATTTGTCCTTATTCAGTACTAAATTTTAACATGAAAATTATAAAAGTAGGCTTTCTATATTTCTGTAGCGATAAATGGGCCAAACAAATTCCCACCCTTTTAAATATTTAGTCAGAACACTAGCAATCCAAATGAGTGGTCATAAGTATCTCGTATAATCATTAAAATTCACAATTCATGTGACTGAACACAAGACAACAATGAAGTACAAATGATATATCTCAATAAGGACATTACGAGGGCGTTCTAATCCAAACCCGAGAAACATATTTATACGTAGGTTGAGGAGACTAATGTAAATCTAAACTGTAGATCTCAAAATACTGATTTAATTACAGAAGTATTAGGAGCGTGTATTAGAATATCCACTCAGATAGAAGAAAGTTACGGGCGACCAAAACAAAATGTGACATCAGTTCATAAAGTCATTAAATTCTGTTTTAAGTCATGTTAGTAGATGCAGACTACTTGGTTGGGGTCCGCGCGACTATCGTAACCAGTGGTTGGAGACTCTGAGTGGAAAGGCCCAGAATCCATCACAATGGCGTAGGTGTTACACTCTTTGTCTTCCCTTAAACTATGAAATTAGAATTACTTCATACCTTTGATTCCATGAACTAATTCTTTCTCTTTGTATCATATCCCTATGTGTAATGTTTTTTTACTACCATTGAAGTAACTGCTTCGATGAATTTGGTGTTCATCTTGTTGTACTAATGAGGTATGGCAACTTAAGCCGATGGATATATGTGCCTCGTCCTACGTTGTAGTTGACTGACCGGCCGGCAATATCTACAAATAAACCTTGCATAAATGTTTATTAGTCTGAATTTTTTAAGAAAAAAATATCAGAGAAAGAGAATCAACCAGATGCGAATAAGTGTATGTGATCATAATAAAGGGACTGTAAGCAAAAATACAGTTTAGAAAAAGAAGTAGATTTGTCATAATTACTGGATAGATCTAATAACATCCTACCAATACTAAAACCTTCTAGGCAAATATTTCAAGTACATAAACTGGAACCTGAGGAACGTCTGATACTTCGCTCTGAATATACTGAGGTTTAGAACTAGATTGTATTTACATGGGTCACTATTGGATTTTTATAGTAAGACACTTCCCGATGTTATCACGTATTGTCAGATGTGTGTCTAATTAAGATCGTCGATTTTGAAAGAAGCTTAAACAAGATACTAATTAAGTTAGTAAATGATTGTCTCATGGCCCTTAAACAATTCAACTTTAATTGCACAAGGAATCTGTAAACATCATTTCCCCAACTTAAGTTAAAAATTAACTATACAGATCTTACCTATAATAGTGCAGTGATGATCACGTCGAAGAACACATACAGCACAGTCAAAACAGTGGTGAGCACGAGGCGGTCGTAAAGTTTGGCATGTAAGACAATAAGTCCAATCTGGTTTCGACTTAGACGATAACAGTAGGCTACGAATACTTGGGTCTTTATAAATACACAATGTAACACTCGAACAAAAACAAGCATATATAAACAACAAGATGCTGTATGCTAAGTATTTCTCGTCTCCTAATAAATAAGGTAATACCAAATAGAGCTCCAAGAACAGCAAATGACTGGCAAAGATTGCAAGCATAGAGCGCGCTAAAACGCTTCTCACAACTCTACTCTTGGGGATTGCTAGAAAAATGATCATTCAATCATACAGTGGATTAAATGTTACCGTTTACAACCAGAAAATAAACAGAGCGGATGCCACGAGGAAATTTAAGACATGACTGTCTTAATTTTGACATGCTTTTATATAGATGTCGGGATCCTAGCAGGCGAAAACTGTGACTGAGTTTCTATTGGTTGTTTTGAATGTGCAACCCAAACTAGAATTATTTAAAACGGATATACTTATTTTACTTCATTATGTTGAACGAAAAAAATGTTCTGAGCTCTGTAATAATCCTGGATGTATGTGACACCAAATACATGTAACTGTTTCTGAATGTCTTCGAGAAGGCTTTGGAAACTGATCAAACGAATATTTACCAACAAAAGGTTATGTTATTAAAGAGGAATAATATATATCTGTAAAATCTCAGCGAAAGAATTTGAAGAAATTTCAACGTTTCGTCTGGCAATCTGGTCCAAGCTTTTTCAAGGAAAATATAATCAAACATCAAAATTATCGATGTTAATATGTTATGATTCCTCGTTATTGATTCACAATAACTCGGCGACAAAAAACTTTGAAACTATTCGTTCAAACATGATCAAAGGTTATGTTGTAGCACTAAATAATTCAGCAAAATAAACAGCTCTGGCAAAAGGAATATAATATCAACCTTTAAGTGGCCGAGAATCACTACATGTAGCTCACGTCAAAGTCTGGAAGTCTTTCAACAGGCATCCGCCCATCGGGTTTCTACAGGAGATGAAGACTCGATGACCAGTTCAAACAATGTGTAAATGAGCAGGAACTTTCAGTGACAAAGAGTGCTACTTAAATTTGTAGTTTAACCGCAGAAATTTTAATGAAAAACGGCCCCTTGGGCGTAGTAACTGTTATGGGGGAACTGGAGACATTTGGCTGATTATAACCTTTATATTAAATATTCTTAATTTCACTGTGTTCTCAATGTTTTTGTTTTACTCAACTTCCGAACTTGTTTGTTTATATTAGTATTTTCGGACATTTTGGTTTCTCTTTGACTTTGGTTTGGTACTTGGGAGTTCTTGCTCCGGAAACCTACAAAGTTGAAGGTTTGTTTCTATAATTGTTACAGTTATTGTTAGAACGACATTTGGGTCGACTATTTTGTACATTGCAAATAAACTTTTCTACATAAATTGGAGTTCGGTTCTATTGTCAATTTGGGTTCGTAAATTGCAAATTGATCAATATACCGCACTTCAATAATGGGAACAAGCAAAACTTGGGCGTAACAGTAACGAGTCCACGGACCTCCATTATCCATTTGAACGTGTAATGATTACCCGTTGGTGTTCCACTGAAATGTTTGGTAATAAATTTGAGATCGAATTTGAAGTGACAATCATCCATCTCCTATTCGACTAAGAATAGTATACTATCTTCCACGTCATGCTGTAATAAAGCATAGGAAATACCCACAGAGCTGGCTTTTAACTGGAAATGAAGTAGCCAAGCCCGAGTCTCGTGAACCCAGGAACATATTCAAAAGAGACACCACTGGGTCTCGTACAGCGTATAAAATCTGGTTGGTACATAGTACGTAAAATGAGTTGAAAGGAGTGTAAGATCCAAACTACGTTTGGACTGCTGGACAGCTGTCTGGATGAGTTAGATACGCGCCCTCGCCCGATTGAAACCAAAACAAAGTAATTGGGTAAGATAGCGGTTCTATAATTTATCATAAATTTAAGTGTACATTATTACCTAAACAAATATAACCACTCAGCTATCCAACCAATAATTGTTCAATTGATCAAATCTAAATTACAATAAATAAGTTGATAAAGGGTGCAAGAAATTTACCAATCACAACAAATCAACGTTATTCTATCCTGGCTGGATAGATCACACACAACAGGAGGAACAAATCAATATGGCTACCTCCAAGAACAAGTGTCAAGTAAAACAACACAGATGCAGTTCAGGAAGAAACACAAACTTAGTGAATGCGTAAGAAAAACAAAAACTATAATAAAAAATACAAGTATTAACAACTCAAATGTAATCAAAATACAACAATGTACAACTAAGGGAATCAATAGGAACAAAGTACAAGTATATACATGGAGGGATTTTCACCAACACACAAAACATTCAAAATGGATCTTACACCGGCCGCCAAAATCCCTCCATACCACACAAGCTACCTTGATGCCTACGGTCATGGTTCATTATATAACATATCACACTATAGGAACGAGTAGGACTTACAACAGTACGCCTACTCGACCTACCTACATTAATAACAACAAAGACTAATCCGAAGCTTCAAAGAGACCTGTTTCACTTGCTCTCTGGTGTTCAACAATAACACTCGTGGTATAGACTTAGTCACTCTTCCCCATACTCCACCCATGCTGTTGGATGAAGGCCTCGCTGACAATTCACTATTTATCTTCTGCTGATTCGACTGTTGCACAAACTTCCTTAACTTAGAAACTGCCCACACGAAGCTTGACGCACTGTCACTGTAAATCTCCGGAGGTTTCCTTCTTCTTCCAATGCAACGTAATAAGGCCATTATAAATGAATCAGTAATCAAACTACACATCATTTCAATATGTACTGCCCATGTTTGCAAACAAGAAAACACATATCCATACCCTTTTTCTAATGATCTTCCTATGTGTCCTTGTTCTTTAGGACAATGTCTAATAATCATTTCCGTCACTAAGTGTCGACTGGGTAAAATTATTGGATGTTAAAAAGCATTTGGGGAATCTGAGTATCTTAGTCGACCTCCAACGCAGAGTAACCCATCAAGCATCATCAACGATAAACCTTTCAGATCATCATGGCTTACTACTTTACTGCTGTTCTTAAATTCACTAAGTAATTCTCCATACACTTCTCTCTGAACCATCAATAAAATCTTACGCTTGGCAATCTCAAGCTCTTTGACCTTTAAACATCCTAGATGAACGGATCCTTCACAACTCGGTAAACGAAGTACCATCAGGAAATCGATGAACCTTCTAAACCAGGTTACAGCTCTGACTAATTTCAACCACTCGGAATAATAAGAGAGAATAGATGTCATGTTGTACTTCATACTACTCAAGTTAACCACAGCAGTTTTTCTAAATTCAATATCGTCAGGAGTAGGTTCCGGACAGTCAGTGATTGTTATATAAAATTCGTCATGCAATAAAGTAGGGCATTTGAACCAAGATTCAAGATCGGTCATTTTTTGCATACTTCCTCTACATAATAATTCACTTATCTGCTTAACGAAACTCTTTGCTTGATCACAAGTGGGAATGGATATCAAGCAATCATCAACATAGAAATTATTCTTGACATCATCTACAACATAACCATCATAACCGTCAAAGAATATTTGGGTCGTCTTATTGAAGGCAAAGTTCGCACGAAACGGCGATGATATGGCACTAAATGGATGAGATGTCATTTGAAACTCGGATGGTTCCCTCGACATGTCTCCCTCCTGCCACCACAGAAATCTTGAAGCTCCTCGATCAGACTCAGAGACCTTCAATTGCATGAACATTTCTTCAACATCTGCAGGGATTGCAACTGCCTCTTTGCGAAAACTTATTAATATACACCTTAACTCAGCGGTGGTATCGGGTTCTTGATAAATCATATCATTTGTGGAAACCCCTGCAAACTCGGCGGCACAATCAAGGACCACTCTAAGTTCCTCTGGTTTTTTCATGTTTAACGCTGCATGATGAGGTAAATACCCTCGAGGGCGATAATTAAGCTGCAAATATATTTCAAGGACCCTCTCCGCATAAGTCTTAGTAAAATTACTTTCAATACCTTTGATGTACCTGATGTTCAGGCTGACGTTCTTCGACAATATACCTTTCAAACTTTGTAATCTACGGTTTGCTACTTCATAATTATCCATTTTCATATTTGGATTCTTTTTCCGCGGTATAGAAACTACAAAATGACCGTTGCCGAAGTGCGTGCCCCCTTCCACAATCTTTATAGCCGCCTTGTCGTCTACTGATAATGATTTGTCACTTGAATAAGCATCCGAAAACTCATCATAAAGCTTACGTATTTCGTTCTCCAGTGTCTGTACCTTACTGATATGATTAACAACTCTTTTCCTATATTCCGAGCATGACGGCTTATCATTTACGACGTTGCTTGTCGAGTCAGTGTGCAGCAGAACGTGATGTCTCTTCTTACAACTGTCAACGTTACAGAGCCTTGTCATCTTACATTCATTTACCTTATGTCCTTGCCTAAGGCAGACAAAACAGATGCCATTAACTTTTGCTTGAGACCATCTCTCTTGAACGGTAAGCGCTAAAAATTTTGGACATTTATAAATAGCATGGTCCAGGGAACACACACTGCATTTAGATTTCTCTTTCGAATTATTCTCCTGCTCCAATTGCAAGTGAAAATTTGTCTTTAAGTTGTGTCCCTTTCTCGGACGATTCGCTAACCGTCCAAACCTACTATTAGCTACTCTCGCGCGGGATGCTATAAATTGGGTAAGCTCGTCAAAGGTTGGTTCTCTATTATCTTCAGTCAATTCATCCACCCAGTCCGCCCACTGGGCTTGCATAACTTGAGGTAAGAGTCCTACTATTCTCTCTAAGGTAATTAGAGAATTTAAGTCGGCAGTATACTTCATCTGTTTCAAAACCATAGAACAATTTTCCATCCTAATAGCTAGATTTGATAGTTGCTCAGGATCACTGTAATCAACATTTGTAGTTTTGAATAAGTCCTCTAAAGTCTCCCGAGCGATTACATGCGCCTGTCCGAACAACCGTTTTAGAATTTCTTTGGCCTTCTTGTAACCAAAAGAGGCTTCCAACATAACACAACCCTCAATGGCTGTTTTCGCTTTACCCTTACAATAATGTATCAAATAAAGCAAGCGTTGACCATCATCCTTGACCCTTGATTCCACATAGGTCTCAAACTCCCTTAAAAACTTCCAGTAACCTCTTGGTTGACCGTCGAAATAACTTAACTCAACCTTTGGTAACTCTGGACCTATGAAAAACGCCGTAGGCCTTACGCTTTTTGCTTGCTTCGCGTCTACATTAAGGTTTTCTATGCCATCTGCCATTATATCACAACTAGATTCACTATAATTACAATCGTCCCTATTAGCATATGAACCATGACACATAGAAGCATCAGAAGGCACTTGCCTTGATTGAGGGGATCC